AAGGGAGAAGGGAAAAACTACGTCGATCATCATCAGGTTTTGGAATGTTAATTCTCCTGCTGTAAACAAAATTAGTTTATTTTGTCGAACTAGAAATGATATAATAAATCAATAATTAGTAAAAAAAAGTTAACACTAAGTATTGCAACGTGAAAAGAAAAAAAAAATACTGGTGTCGTTAAATTATTTGAAACGCGTTATTTTACTAATGAAACGAATTTGTACCAGATGATTAAGTTGATTTTTGGACCATAATTTTTGCCTTTGATTCCACCATAATTAAGAAATCTATGTGAACATCGCTTTCCTATAGCTAAATGCGTAAAGAGGTCAAATATCCTTAACGACAGCACCACCATGTCCCTGGCTACCAAAACCGTGTTAAGGGATAAGTAATCACCATATTCCTCTAAAATTAAAGAAAACAAAAAAAAAAAAAATACTCATACATCTATTTTATGCCAAAATTATTACTCCATCCATTTCAAAATATAGTTCGTTTTAGGTTTGGAGAATTTTTTTTAAATATAAGTCGTTTTACAAATTTTCAGTAAATTAGTGACTATTTTTCCTACTTTATCCTCAATAAATGATGCCAATATATTTTCATTTAGTTTCGTTTATAATTTCAATGTAATTAATGAGAGATAAAACAGATACTTAATACATAAAATAATTGTTAGATAATTGTCTCATTAGTATACGTGCAAAGCACAAAGTGATTTACATTTTGAAATGGATGGAGTGTTCAGTTTAGATTATTCGAAAAACATTGTATTAATTTTTTATATTTTTTTATCCAATTACGTTCGTTGTATATGAAATTGGAAGGTGTGCCAAAGCCTCAGGGAAAGAAGAAATAAAAAGTTTGGATAAAATTATAAAAGGTCAGCCACTTACACGTGCCTCCTGCTCCCATTCCTTGCGACCGTCACGGGCGGTCGCCGTCGCCCTTCCTTTCTTTTGCCTTTCTTGCACTGCTTTTATCTGGACATCGTCAACTGTTTGAATTAATATAATTTCGTTTTATATTTTCTACTATTAACTTTAATAAACAATGAACGAAGAAAAAAAATACAAGTAATATAAAGGACATTTCATTGTTTTTTAATTTGTACTAGGAACTTTCTTACTACTTCCTCTGTCCCATAATTATTGTTCTGTTTGGGCTTTTATTTTTAGTTTAAATTGTCTTAAAAGTGAAATCTCAAACTGGACAATAATTTTGGGACAGAAGGAGTATTATTCATCTTCTTATTTTTATTGCATTGAGAAAATCAAATTCAAATATTTACACAAGCTACGAAATCGTGCAGCCCTTCCCGCAAAAAATCGTTTTCAATTTTTTCTTTTTTTTTTTTATACTGATTATTATCAGTGTCGTTTTGACTTCCTAGTATTGGTTAGGAAAATGACGTATTATATGAATCGGTTCCTCCTCCATTTTCATGCTCATTGTGTTTGGTTTTTTTTTTTTTTCGCATTCTGATTCCTCATTTTAAGAAGGATTTGAACAATTTCTATATTTATAAAAAAAAAAAGAAAAAAAAAGAAAGAAAAAGAAGAAAAAAGGGTAATGTATAGTAATAGTATGAACTATATATGGACTAATATTGTTTTCAAACATAAAGGCTAGCTACAAAATCACGTCTATTCTCAATGTATCTTAAGGAACTTCGTTCTTTTCGATGGCTCCACCGATTGGGATCGTCGGCCCTTGTTATTGAGATTGTTTGAAACTAACCATGTGCTACAATTAATACTTAAAATTTAGCTGTTTTTAAAGAATACTACACTATTTTTTATTTGAAAAAACCTGAAAAATAATTCATATTGAGATTTGAGACACTTTAATTAACATAGTATAATTAAACTTAAACTAATTGTTCATCATAAAATCCACACCAATAGACTCCACTTAAAAATAAAAAATTTAAATAAAATAATCATTTTATGGAGTTATAGAGGAAGTAAATAAGAAAAAATCCTCTTAAATCGATCACGCTTCTTGTGATGAGTGTATTATTGCACCAGACTCTCGATTCAAAAGGTCAAAGGTACGTATTTTGATGAATTAATTTTTTGGAAAGGAGTTCAAGAAAAGTAGAACTTGGGATTTGTTACACCGTTAACATCTGCTATGATGATTCAGAAAAACATCTGCTACAAACTTCGATTAATTTTAACCAGTTACATGGAAAAGAAATCCAAACAAATTTTCATTCCCACAAGATGTTTGGAACAAAGAATCCCACATCGATGTCGTGAAGGATCTGTCACCTGTTTATAAATACCAAAGGCCAATCCACTTATAACCAATTAATTTTGAGATAGAAGCCCAAAATACTTATATAATTTGACACAAAACGCTAGAAAATATGCTACATAGAATGAAACATTTGATGAAATACATTAATAAATTGAAAAAATCTCCACCAATAACTTCTCGTAATTAATTAGTTCTGAAATTCTCATAATTCTGCAAATTCTTTCTGCCTTATAAGTCAGAAGAGACAGCATAGAAATTTCATTATCGATTCAACAAGAAGAAGTTCTTTTTTTAAAATAAAATTTCCTTGTGAATCGCTAAAAGTAGATTGGCCTAAATGCTATATCAAAATGCAATATCATTAATATCCTACCCGAAAAGCTATAATACATAGTAATTTTTTAAAAAACAAAATTAAACCAACATGTCCACACAATTTTATAATATATTTGGCTGTGTTTGGAATATTATTTTTTTCAAAAATAATTTATTAATAAATATCAAATCCCAACATATTTTTTTATATTCACATTATTTTATTTTTTCAATAAAAAAAAAAACACATAAAAACACACCATTGAAGAATATCCACGGTAAGCGAGCTGGAAAGAGCAGAGTGGGCCATCTTTCTTGAGTTTTACGGCTCAAGTTAAACGCAAAATGTCATCTCGATGATCGCGACATGCAATATAGTCAAACGTAGTGAAATGGGTTTTCATTTTTCCGATTTATTTTATTTTTTTAATTAGAGATGTTACGGTGAAAATATTTAGTGGAAAATTATATACTCTTGAATCGAAAAATATCGTGATCTTGATAATTTCGCAGATCGTCACAAACAATTTGAGAAGTTATTGCCATCTAATTCATTCCTCAAATAAATTACACCAAATCACGCGGGAAATGAAAGGAAACAAATCTCGTGTGTGATAGATTAGATCAAGCAAAAAGCTAATCATTTTGGAATAGCAAAGATGGTGAATTTAAATAATTTGAATTATCCAGATTTTATTGCCTAAACTGAGGAAGGGTTGACTTTTGACTAGTTCCGCAATTCTGAATTCTGATCAATTTTCTTGCACCAATTTCCTGCCAAACCAAATTAGAATACTAATAGTGTCTTTTTGGTACTCCCAAGTCCCAGTTTAATTAATCGTTGAAGTTTTATGAACTTTTGGGATAATTTTTTTTATTTATTGAATATTGAAGAAAGTCATAAAAATATTAATTTAATCACCGAAGAAATGAGAATGCCCTTCTTCAAAATTAAATCTGACAATTACACGAAGCTGACGAAGCTACTCTCCATGTGTTCATATTGAAATTAAAATGTCAAAGGGGGGTTTAGTATGTGACTAGATCGTTACGTGGTTCCATCATTTTAATAATAAAAAAAAGGCTTTAAATTATCAATTCCGTAAAACGACCATTTCTTGTATATTATGTGTGAGTAAAGTGTTTCCAACCTACTACGTTCATGCATGTTTCAGATAATCCATGTCTTCTATGCTAAACTGTGAAGAGTCTTACCTTTTTTTTTTTACTATTATAATGTGGTTCAGAAATTAACTATACGAAACAAGTAATTTAATACTTTCTCTGCATTACTTTTTTTAAATAAATGCTAGTAATACTTTTTTTAAAAAAAATCTTGGTCCATAATTAGTCAAGTTTTTGCATTGACTAGTCAAACCCTACGACATTTTTGAGATATGAATTAGGAAAATGATATTCTTAGTCAAATAATATAGTGAGAAAATACAGCGACTCATGTGTATTTCTTATTTTGTTGTCACTTTGTCGTTGGGAATTTTTTTCTTCCCAAAATTATCCTTTTACCCTTCATTACTATTGACACATCAGTCATTATATATTTTTCCCTATTTTTTCTCACTATTTGTATCATTGCTTTGTAATTGAAGTTGACTTGCGTAACAATAATTAATAGAGAATTGACTTCAATATAAGTAAGAAATTATAGCAAACTAAGAACCTTACTATATAATAGTATCTCTCTCCTAAAAGATTAGTATGATATTTCTCCAAACCTCAAATAGGATTCACCAAAAACAAAAGCAAAAACTATTTAAGCAACGAACGAGAAATATTGGCATGATGTGCTCTAATACACTATCTTACGCTTAATTCATTTTGTACGGAAAAAGAAATGACATATAACTCGTGAACACTAGTCTACTTAATGTTTTTTTCCCCCCTTTTCTTTCAATTCTGAAGTTATCCTTCTATATTTGCATCAGCTACATTTTTCCAGTCTTATCCATTTCTGATGCGTTTGCAAATACATTTATTAACGTCGTAATGTTTTTGAAATTTTCTCAAAGACGTATTCACATATTTATCATATTGCAATATATTCTTCTAACGCAAATATAGTATATCGTTTAAAAACACATTCAAACTGGACAACAATTTCGAGACGGATCAAGTAACACGGTCGTTACAAAGTTCGAACCTTGAACATAGTGGATCACCATGTACATGTACTTGGTTCAATTGGGCATCTAATTCAATGGGAAAAATGGTGCTGTTCTCATGAAAGCAGAGTGGCAAACACACAGTCACACGCTTAACACACTGACGAACAGATTAGATTTTCTGAATACATTTCACGTCATAATTATAATCTCTTTTTTTAAAAAATAAAAATAAAAAATAATGTTGTCAATAAATACCTTATCAGCTTATCTTCCATTAATGTGAAGTGTTAACCATGGTTAGAAGTTAACCATCTGAAGATGTCAGAGTCAGAGGCCTTACCTGGTGAAGGTCAGTGACAAACACAGACAGACACCTATATAAGACTATCTCACTTATAACGTAATTACTTCACATCCTATTCTTGCATCACTTTCTTTTCCTCAAAAAAATTTCTCGAATGATTCAATCTTCCACCATTTCCTTACTTTAATCTTCTTTCATTTCGTTTTAAATCCCATCAATTTGGTTTACCGCAAAACCATCTTCTTTTCTGGTTAGTATATTTCTCAATTTCCCCTTGTGTTTCAGTAACAGAATTCATGTTTTTTTTTTTTAATTTTTTTTTCCGGTTGGGTTGCAGGTGAAACGAGATGGCGTCGAAGGGAAACCAGAACGGAGGATTCACCTTTGCAACGAGTCCGACAATTGCCAGGGGAAGAAATGGACTCCCCAGAATTCACACGGAGAAGACGAAGGAAACCGAGGTCTGCCATGACGACAGTGCTCCTCCGGTGAAGGTTCAGACTCTGGACGAATTGCATTCGTTGCAGAGGAAAAATCCGCTCCGACCACCCCTATTACCGGAACTCAGTCGGCATTTGACGCCACCGTTAACGACGGTGAACGCCAGAAACAACAACTCCAGTCGATCAGGTCACTATGATTAAGAAACATATAATAAAACCCAGTAAAAATTCAGTCCAATCCCATGAATTAATTAATCTGATTCTGATTTTGATTTTCCCCTGTTTTTTGGAACAGTGCTTCATTGGCGTCGCTGACCAGAGAAACGGGGCCGAAAGTGGTGAAGGGAGATCCGGCGAGAGCGGAGACGCCGAGAGTTTCCCACGTGACCCACCACCATTATACGCCGACGCTCACCATTAGTGATAGTGCCCTCAAGTTTACTCACATCCTCTACAATCTCTCCCCTGCTGGTAAAATTCTTTTTCCCATCTTCAACAATTTAATAAAATGAAACCAACAAGAAAAAGAAAAGAAAAGTGGGTAGTAACGAATTCATTTAATAATTTGGTCAGAGTAGTTGCGTATTGGGAGTTTCAGAAACGTAAAAAGTTGAAACTGAATCCTTAATTTTTGTAATCTTTTGAGATTTTGACAAAATTTTTGAAGATGGATGATTTTCTGGAGAAACCGGCGGTATTTATTGCGGTTGCCGTTTTGATTGATTTTCGTCTTGAAGCGGGATCTCGAAATGCGTATCATCCTAGAATTTATCTTTTCTTAGTAAATAGGTGTGGGGTCTCACCTGATTCTACCACCTAATCCTGATTTTTGGAGTTTTCCTCCACTTTATTGAAAATTGAAACAAATTGTAGCGATATAAAAAATAAATAATAAGAATAAAAATAGATACGTTCGCCCTTTTGCGTCCAATCAAAAATATCTTTGATGCGTCCTCTTTTTGGGTAAGTTAATATATGCGTGACATAATATCTGAATCATTTATTTGGTAATTAGTCGATATAACTTGGGGAATTTTTATTATACCAACTCATTATTGCTTCAAAAGATTATCCATAAATCCATAGTTATCTAAAAAGATTTTAGTTGGACTTACTTGCTGATTTGATCTTGAAATCAAAGTCTCCCAATGGAAAGCCGATATGATCTTTAGTGACATATTGTCCAGTTTGAGTTTTCATTTCTAATTCAAATTGTACTAAAAGTGAAATTTCAAACCGAACAAAAATTATGGAACAGAGAGAATACTAGTTTTAAGTAAATCAAGTTCTTTGTCCCATTTGTTACTTATCAATGGTGTATAATTAGTAAAATTTGTAGTTTAATATGATTTCCTCTTGAAAACGACTATAAAAATCAATCCTTAAATTTGCAGAACTCTACGAGCAAGCTATAAAGTATGAGAAGGGGTCTTTCATAACATCATCTGGTGCTTTGGCCACGCTTTCGGGTGCGAAAACGGGCCGTTCACCAAGAGACAAGCGTGTGGTTAGGGATGAGACTACTGAGGATGAGCTTTGGTGGGGAAAGTAAGTGCTCTTTCTCTTTGCTTTCGTTCAGATTTCCCTTTTTTGGATTTTAATGGCTGCTTATCAACTGTGTTATACTAGCTTTTTAAGTTTGTTACTTTTTTGTCTAATGGTTTTTGATCCTTTTTCTCGACAGGGGTTCGCCCAACATTGAAATGGACGAGCACACTTTTTTGGTTAACAGGGAAAGAGCCGTGGATTATTTGTGTTCATTGGAGAAGGTAACACAATAATAAATAGTTAAGAGGTTAAACTTTATCTTGTCCCTTGAAACATACCATTTATCTGGTGCTATGAAGCTTCCTGTTTTGGCACTTTTCCGCATGTTTGGTGAACCTAGATTTTTTTTGTCACTTTACCACTATTTTTACTCGTGAATCCATTTGACAAACTCCTAGATTTCTCTAGATGAATGATGATAAAATGACACTATTTTACATGATTATGTGACATGTGAAATATAAAATATCCAATTCTATTTCATAAAAGGAGGGTATATGTATAGGTGTGTGTCTTGTAATAATGATGTCTATGTTACTGAATCTATCTTTAGTCTGTTTAGTTTTTGTTCTGATTTGGTTTTGTGTTAAAACTATTAAAGGTTTTTTTGAAAATATGAAGTTATCCTGATGTAAAAATGCAAATATAAAACATGGTCTTGGTAAAACATGCTACTTGTCAAGGGGAGGTTCTTCTAATTTTAACTTTAATATAGGAGAGAAGATTAGAAACTTTATTTGGTTTACTTTTTGTCTTGGGCAGCTGGGGTATATGCTGGGTAGGTTATTTTGCTTTTTAACTTTTAGAAAAATTTATTATCAATAGAACTTCCACAAATATTTAAAATCAACATCTTTGCCTTGAACGTTGGCTTTCTCCCATATTATTGGAAAATATAATAAGAAATACTTTGAGAGTGACAATAGCTCTGGATGTCACTCTTAGATTATTGATAGGTTTGGAAGACTGGCCACAAAAGAATACAAAAGTTTTGATTATTTATCCAGATATGGTTGGGAGTGACCATTATGGGTATATGCCACTATATAGTGTGTGTGACAGTTTGTGACAAATAATTTCCAGGACCCCATGCTAGTGATGGAATATCTAACCATTTTGCAAACACGCTATTGATGAAGATGCTGAAAGATTGCAGTGACTGCACTTTGCTGAAAGATGTAGTTTTTACTGATGTTTGTTTGCATGCTTGTCAGGTTTATGTCAACGATCAATTTCTCAACTGGGATCCTAACCACAAAATCAAAGTGAGGATTGTTTCTGCAAGAGCTTACCACTCCTTGTTCATGCACAACATGTAAGTCAACATTGAATAAGATTTTGTTCTTCCGTTGCTACACAGTTGATTTAGATGTTAACAATCGATATTATGTTGATACCTTTTTATGTTGGCGTTAATTTTAAAAGAAGTATTGGTTGCAAAAGCTTAAAATTGAAGGGGAAGGGGAATACATAGGGTCACGGGAAGAAACTAATAAGCTTGGCATATCGATTTTACCTGGGTGGGTGGCAGGTGTATCCGACCCACTCCTGAAGAGCTGGAGAACTTTGGTACTCCGGACTTCACAATATACAATGCTGGGCAATTCCCATGCAACCGCTACACCCACTACATGACCTCCTCCACTAGCATAGACATGAATCTTGATAGGAGGGAAATGGTCATCCTTGGCACTCAATATGCTGGGGAAATGAAGAAAGGTTTATTCAGTGTTATGCACTATCTGATGCCTAAGCGTGGAATACTGTCCCTTCATTCTGGCTGCAATATGGGAAAAGGAGGAGATGTAGCCCTTTTCTTTGGACTATCAGGTATTTGAATGGGGATGATGACTTAAACAGGGAGCCAAAATGTGTCCTCTGATTAATCCTCCTCTGCTTGCAAATACCTTTCTTAATTCGAGCAGTTTTTGCCAACATCTGCATAAGCACTTATTGTCGTTTGCTGTCTGCTATCTTTCTTGTTGTGCTAGGTACTGGAAAGACGACACTTTCTACAGATCACAATAGGTATTTAATTGGAGATGATGAGCATTGCTGGAGTGAGAATGGTGTATCAAACATTGAGGGTGGTTGTTATGCTAAGTGCATTGATCTGTCAAGGGAGAAGGAACCTGATATCTGGAACGCCATTAAGTTTGGCACTGGTATGGATTTGTCCCTCGAGATTGACATATCTTTTGTATCGTTCTTGTGCAACTTGCAGGATGTTCTAATACTGTTTACCTTTTGGCTCTCTTCAGTCCTGGAGAATGTTGTTTTTGATGAGCACACTCGAGATGTGGATTACTCCGATAAATCCGTAACTGGTAAAAATGGCTTTTCTCTTTTATTAAGAGGAGTGTGTGAGAGCTTTATTGTAACCTTTAGGCTTTATTCATATTCAACCCAACCTAAATTTGTCATTTTCTTACAAATTTTATGTGATTTGGGACTTGGTTTATATAATTTAACTTAATGACTGTTTTGACTGCAGAAAACACTCGGGCTGCATATCCAATTGAATACATTCCCAATGCAAAGATACCTTGTGTTGGTCCGCATCCCAAGAATGTAATCCTTTTGGCCTGTGATGCCTTCGGTGTCCTGCCCCCAGTCAGCAAACTGAACTTGGCCCAGACCATGTACCACTTCATCAGTGGCTACACAGCTCTGGTAAGAATTGTTGAAATTGCATTTCTATTAGTTTCGATGAAAATATCTTGGCATGTATAATATGCAGGGAATTCAACTTAGATAAATTGACATTTTATCACCTAACAGGTCGCTGGAACTGAAGATGGTATAAAGGAGCCTACTGCAACATTCTCAGCCTGCTTCGGAGCAGCATTTATAATGCTTCACCCCACCAAGTATGCTGCTATGTTGGCCGAGAAAATGAGGAAGCATGGTGCTACAGGATGGCTAGTAAACACTGGGTGGTCTGGTGGAAGGTACAGTAATCAAACCCTTGACATCAACTTAGCTTTCCAGTCGACATATTTTATCTAACTAATGGTTATTAACTTGTTTCTACCTGCAGTTATGGATCAGGAAGCCGTATCAAGTTGGCTTATACCAGGAAAATCATCGATGCGATTCACTCAGGCAGCCTTTTGGAAGCAAATTACAAGACTACTGAAGTGTTTGGACTGGAGATCCCTACTGAAATTGAAGGGGTACCTTCAGAGATACTTGACCCTGTGAACACCGTAAGTTTAACATTTTACTTAACTTTTTCTTGTGTTTTATTGTTAAATTGCCGTTCTTGTTGGAAACATGATTTCTATTAATGCTGGGCTTCTTTGTTTTCCCAGTGGTCCGACAAGAAAGCTTACAAGGATACTCTCCTCAAATTGGGAGGCCTGTTCAAGAAGAACTTTGAGGTTTTCGCGGACTACAAGATTGGAACAGACAGCAAGCTCACTGAGGAGATCCTTGCTGCTGGCCCCAATTTTTGATTTGGGGAAGCTACCAATTGGGTCGTGGAAGAAAGTTGAAAAGGAATCCATCATTGTATTTTGAGTAGTTCTTTAATGTTATTCGCATGTCTGGATATGGAACTTGTTATTCAATGTGAACAGCCCAGCTGTAGGTCATCTGGGTTTTTGTTTTTTCCATTATGCTGCAGTTGCAGCAACTTTACCGTTGTAAGTTTATCTCTTCTCCTGTTGGAGGATGTGATTCCTTTTGTAATGATGGTGACGAAAATTTAGTTAAGCAATATCACAGGTTTTTGCCCTTTCCCATCAAATGACTCGGATAATCAAATTTGCCTGCTTCTGAGTAATCTCTTCTGTTCATCATCAAAAATCTAAGTAGTGCTAGATAACAATTATGACCCTAAGTACATATCCCAACTTGATAAACCATAGATCTTCTGAATTCAACAAGCAAATACAAAAAGATGTGGCAATAGCCCTGGATGGCTACTCGGAATTGATGGTTCAGTGAAAAAGGAATTGATGGCTACTCTGAATCCCGATTTCTTATACTGTTGCGGTTCACCCAGATTGAACTCAGAATCAATTCAACTATGACACAAAAAAAAAAAAACTGCAAATCAACAGCTTGATATCTTTAAATACACGGTTTGGACCAAGTAACATAATACCAAAAAACCAGAGAATTTGAGAGAGTCCTCAACACCACCCAACTCAAAGCAAGGAAAGAAAAGTCTGATCATTTTAGAGATTGAAAGCCCCACAACTACAAGTTCCTAGTCTTGCCAGCACACGGATGCAATCACACTAAAAGAACACTGGTAAAACGAGGTCTCATAATGCCTACAGCCAGCGTTGCGCGACATTCATCATGCAGAAATGGGGGAACTGTAACACAACTCTAAGCATTGGACTTTCATGGCCTATCAAATTGCAAGTGGAAGAAACAGCATGTGCAAAAGGCACTTACAAAAGCTTGGAAAGGTGTCCTAGCCGAAGTCCTAGTACGTGCTGACTAAGATGTTGGTGGAAGATACTTCGCAAGGGTTGGACTTTCCTACAGTAGCTTATCACCTCTCTCTAATGTAGACTCAAAAAGCAGTTGAATGAAATTATGGGTTTTCAAACCCCCCAAATATAACACACAACAGCATCAGGCAAACAATTTGCCAGAATAACAGAATTGAAAAGGCTGTAAAACTACCTTTGTGTAACAAGAGTAAAATTTTTTAAAAAAAAAATCAATGAAAGCGAAGAGGCACAACATTCAGAGGAAGTTCTGGTTATTTCTATTGTTTTATAGTTCTTAAAAGTACCCCGTTCAATTGTAAAGACAATTTGTAAAAGACCAAATAGCTTAATTTTTATTCTACAAGCGAAGAACAAAACTTGTTCACTGGTATAAGTCAGTATACACTAGTTATTGATTCTGATCCTCACTGGACGAGGCTGTATCATCTTTGTGTTTGATCATGCCAGAATCAACAAGAATAGGGATCTCTGCCGCAAGCCATGGGGCAAGACCCAAACACAGGGCATGCGCAATTCCAAACCTAGGACTGCAAGAATGTACGCCACCATCACAATAATTAAACCAATTGAAATCCACAATATACAAACAAAGCAACCCCTCAAAAGAGAAAAACATAAAACAAAAATATATAAATGTAACACACTGCTTAGCAGTGATCACCAAACTACAAATATGCTCCAGGTTGCTTCCATCTTAATCTTTTAGTAAGACTAACATATAAAATGCAAAAGGTGTATCCAAGAAGGCAATAAATATATTCATGCATAAGATTCCTCCATTGCGGTAAATAATATAGGACATTCTACCAAATTGAGCATCCACGAACCATTGACTCAGTTCTCATCCAGCATCAATAAGCCAATATAGTGCTCATAAAACCCAAATCCAGCAAATACAAATACAGTGCAGAATGAGCAAGACAGCACGATCCAACCCTCTCTAGTTTATATAAAAGCAGAGAAACTACATTTCTAGCTAAGCTAATTCAATCTCTGAATTACCCCCAAAGTTCAAAACTTAAACCAAGTTCTACAATCAAAACAATATAAATTGGATTAGAACAACTGAACATGCACTTACCAATTCTTTGCCCATAGTGGCTTGAAATGCACTGTCAAGCATATCTTGCCTCCTCTATACATCTGAACCAATTCAAACAAATCAAACAAAACACATCAGACGAATACAAAATTTTACCTTTAACTGCACAATTCTAAAGAATGTAAATTCTAGAAAAGAAATATAGAAAAATTGAATGAACCTTGTGAGTCTTTCCATCCAATTGAGGCAATTCAAGTTCAGGAGCAGTGGCCGGGTACGTGACCGGGATATCAAACTGGAGGTCGAATTCATACTTCAAAAGGTTATGAATATACCAGCACTTGCCGGTCCATCGGGTCCCTTCCGGGTTAGCAGCGGAGATCCGAAACCAATCGTTGTCCTTAGACTTGTTCATCGACGTATAAGCTATCAAAGCTTTGTATTCCTCCTTCAGCCGCTGCGTCCAGGCCGCCCCATCGCGTGGACCCGCTCTTGTGGTCAATAACGGGATCTGGGTGAGCGTAGATTTGGTCGTCGGATCCCAACCCTCCATTCTTTTCTTGATCAGAGGTGTTTTTCAGACCCCAATTTCAGATAACTCTAAAACCCTGCAATTCAACAACCATGGACGATGTATTTATGTCATATGAATGCCACTGAACAAGCTGTAAAAGTGGCGTTTCTTAAACGCAGAGAATTCCTAATTTTCACATAATTTTACTTAGTAAAATGGATAAAATCAAAGGGTTGAAGGAATTTTACTTTAGAATGTCTTCGCTTTGTTCCTGATTCTTGATTCTTTCTGCGGAGAACAGAACCCAGAATAATGATGGCGCTCTTCTTCTGTTCCCTCCGCCCAGCTGAGCAGAAGTCGTTTTAAAGCCTTTCAGTTCTCAGGGGGAAAAATTGGCGGATCTACCCAAAGCTTTATATGCATCGTCAATTCTACCTTATTTTTTTTCGGTTAGTCAATATTACCCTAAACTATCCAACCGTTAGCCAGTTTTTTCCAATTTGCTATTTTCTGTCTAAATTAATGAAATTCTATTTGTTTTAATTATAAAAATACCTTAATAGTTTTAAATATTTATAAAAATGACCTAAAAATTTTTAAAAAATTACAAAATAGTCTCTTTTCAGTTTTTATTTAAATTTTTTTTTATTTCTTTTTACTATTTTTCATAACCATAAAAATATACTATATGATCTTTTAAATAAATAATTTATGTTTAAACACTACAGTGCAAATTTATAGATATACATTTTGTAACTCATGGTTGATTTACATACACATATTAATTTTTTTAATAATATGACTAGACAATAATGATATTATTCTTTTAATCCGTCTTTTTAATTTTAAAGAATAAGATTTTTTGACTAAAACTTATTTTTTTATAAAAAATTAAAATATTTAGCATAGATTAAATATATATATATATATATTAGTACATTTTAATTTATTGCAAATTAACTAAACAGACTATAGATTGTATTATCTAATTAAAAAAATTATTAAATTAAAATATAGGGTACTATCTAGTGTATAGGGTGTTAAGTTTTATGAGAGTAGATATAAGATTAATTGTTACCAAAAGATTTCTAACCGGGAGAGTGATTTTACCCACGTTTAAGCGGGGTCCACTAAAGGTAAGAGGGTTGAATTGGATGGTCAGGTGATTTAAGATATGAGATGATTAAAACTGTATTCGAGGTTCGATTCTCACTGGAGAAATCTATTTTTTTTAATACAAAAAAAAGTTGGAGTCCAGTATTAGGGTAGATTTTTTTTATTTTATTTTTTTTTAAAAAAAAAGACTTCCTGCTAAAGTTAGATATATTAATGTCTCAAAATATTATCACAAAATGTTAAACCCTCGCAGTAATAAATATACATATTTTTTATAAAATATTTTGTACCATTTTTGTAAATGCCACGACACTATATTCTTGTGTTCGGCCAACATAGAAACGAAATAGGTTTTTTTTTTTTTTTTACTTTATGTTCGTACCTGGCCTTTTAAAGAATATTTATATTTTAGTTTTGATTACATTTTAAATTTTATAATACAGTCTAAAGTCTGTTGAATTAAATTGTAGTACATTAAAGTATACCAATAGATTTTTTTTAATCTATGTGAATTGTTTAATTTTTTTGTGCAAAATTAGTATTAGTTAAATAATCTTATTCTTTAGGGTGGGATGACTGGGTGGGATTAGGGGATTAGGATGGGGGATGGTTATTACCGGGAGGTCGAGGGTTCGATTCTCACTGGGGCCATCCAACTAAAAAAAACTTATTCTTTAGATTAAAAAAATGGATTAAAAAATAGTAATATTATTGTAAAACCGTATTATTAAAAAATTAATATGCTTATGTGAATCAAACATGACTTACAAATATGTAATTAAAAATTTGTACATTAAAGTTTAAAAATAGTTTTTTTAAGATCATATAGTATATTTTCATAGTTATGAAAAATAGTAAAAAGAAATAAAAAATAGAAAATTTTAAATAAAAACTGAAAAGAGACTATTTTATAATTTTTGTAAATTTTGGGGTTATTTTTATAAATTTTTAAAACTATTAAGGTATTTATATAATTAAAATAAATAGAATTCCGTTAATTTAGACGAAAAATAGCAAATTGGACAAAATCGGCTAACGGTTGGATAGTTTAGGGTAATATTGGCTAACCGAAAAAGAATATGGTAGAATTGACGACGTATGTAAAGCTTTGGGTAGATCCGCCAATTTTTCCGTTCTCAGTGTAATAAAAAGTGACAATTTTTATTAAAATATAATAAATTGTTAAAAAAATCAACTTAATTACAGTAATTAATTATTTTGAGCATTTTGCTCTTAGTATTTTCCAACATCACAAATAGTCTTATTACAAGTTTGATAAACATATTCAGCACTAAAATTTATCTGATTAGGTGTGTTCATATTGATACCGTTTGATAGTGGAATTTTATATTAATTGCTTAAAAAAATTTAATTAATTAAGTATTTAATTTTCAAATGCGTTAAATAACTACAAACACGATGTCTAAAAAGATTAAGTGGTTTTTTTTTTTACAATAAAAGAGTCATATGCATGGTAGTCTATCTATAAAAAAATAGTTAGTTGGTAAAGACACCAATTACATTATGTTGAACCCATGGTTTAAAAATATCTATGGGTCTTAAAAGATTAAGTGATTTGAAATGCAAGTACAAATGTAAGTATAAAAAACAAGTGATAGGAGCATGTTTGAACAAAATTTGTGCTTAATTCTGAATGTTTAATATTGAATTAGACATATTGAATTCATTAATTAGTCACAGAATAAACAATAAGCTAACTTTTATTACTTATATATTGTATTGCAGTTTCAGCACCATTTAATTCATTAAGAGCTTATTTTTTATTATCAAATATGCTAAAATGAAAAAATATTTAATATAATAATTTTAAGCATTAAGTGGCTTTATCAAACATGTCCCGCTTGGTAAAACTTAATTTAGGTATAAAGTCTAAAATTTGAAGACTGAACCATAACTACTGAACTGATTAAATTTGTCTTTTTTGATAAAAATAAAAGTGTGAAGAATAAATAAAATGTTTGAAATCTGAAGTATGAACACTGAAATTTAAAGTATATCGACTTATTTGTCTAAAAAAATAATTGATGTGTATAAAACTATGAAATTATGTAATTAAAATATTTAAATTTTATTATGTAATTATTTTTCCAGTTAGTAATATCTATCATTATAAAAAATATCATATCTTTATGGTAAATATATATTGATCATGCACTTTATTCGTATTTTTATTGTTTATATTAAAATAAGTATATATTAAATAAAAAACAATTTATATAATTTTTTATTTATAACTAAACACCAAGATTAATAAAATTGTTTCAATATATAACATCAAAAGTATAAACATAAAAAGTAATAAATAGAAATAAAATCGTCTCAAGAATTCAGTTCGAACATAAGTGATATGTCTATCATTTATTTTTAGACTCACATTTGTACTAGTATTTCAGACTTACTTAATTTATTAAGACATTCTACTTTGAATTATCAAACGCGCTAAAAATTTAAGTCCTATAATAGTTAAGTTTTTAATTAATTAAGTTTTTATGAGATTGTATTATCACAAACAAAGCCAATCAATTAAGCAATTAGTCAATTAAGTTAGTGCTGAATGAGTTTATCAAATAGAGCCTTAAGTTTGTTTTGTTTCATAAAATTGAAAAAACCTGAAGACTAAAAAAAATTGTTTGAAGTCTAAACACTGAAATATATGTAGGCTCTGTTCGTTTGCATGGCATTGAGGGCTTGGATTTGGAATTGGGGCCATCAATGCCAAATTCGGTGTTCGGCTATCTAAAAATAAGATGGTATTGGCATTGGCCCAATGCCAAAAGGCTTCCAATGCCATGATTTCAATTTCGGGCTTGAAACTATTATTTCGGATTCCAAAATCTTGTGGAGTTGAACTATTCGCGGGTCATTCTCGGGTTTTTAATTGAAATTCGGGTTCGGGTTTTTATTGGTTTTTTAACGTATCAAGCCATTTTTTTTCCTCACTCTCGCGTTCCCATCACTCTTTCTCCTCCACTCTTTTTGCTCCATTAATCTGTACAATCTCCGGCGACTCCAGTAATCGTAACAAATTGGCGACGGCAACGGCGACGGCGAAGGAGGCGGCGACACAGTTCCCTGGTAATTTTTTTATTCTGATCTTTTTCTTCCTTTTGGGTAGATTTAGGTTGGTTGCTCATCAATTCATCCAGATCTTCTTCTGATGCTTGTATTTTCTATAAATCTTTCTTATTTCAGCATGGATCTGACTGATTTTTGTGGGTTTTGTTTATTAAGTCAAATTTCAACTGGGTTGGCTTCTCTGCAGGCTTACTCGGTTCTATTTTTCAACAACGTAGACCATCGACTTCTCTTCTCCGGCGTCCGCCTCCAAGTCCGGTGTGCAAAGGGACTTCAAACTCCATTTCCCAGATAAGACCGGCCTTGGCTACGATATTTGCCGCACCATCCTCGATTTTGGGCTTCACTACAATCAGGCAAGGTATTCTCTCTGATTTTTGTCTCCTTTTAGCTATGATAATGGGTTCGTGTAAATCTATGAGGCAAGGTGTTCTTTTTCTTATAACAAATCAGGCAAGGTATTGAGATAAGATTTCTCAGATCGGTGGAGAATATTTGAGAGACCGATTGAGGATGATGATGCTGGTTCTTGGTATTTGGTAGCATTTGGAGACTAGTTTAGTTGTAGTAGTGGTAATTGGATTTCTGACGAACTTATTTTTGTGTTTCTTCAACAAAACATTTTTTTTTCTCCCCCCTGTCACCTAATGTAATTAATTATTAATTTATAATAAACAGTCGATGCTTACTTTATTCCCTAGAGATCAAGGTATTGGATATTTTGTAGTTTTTTTTGGACCTAGTTTAGACTCAATCTTTTCATTTGTTCTTAAGAAATCCAACCAGCATGATATTGTCAATCGTTAGTCATTGAGGCATTAACCAGA